GCAGCTTGACTCCAAAGCAGACAAGGAGTGCATTGTGACACTGGAGCATGTCTTCTCTATTTGGGGCAGTGGGAATTAATTTGCCATACGTTCCCTCATTTAATCAGAGAGTGTTTTCATAGTTTGGTGTAATATATTTGAAAGGCTGGTGTGGTAAATGACTGACATGCAAACAATTCAAACCAGATCCGCAATTTACTGCTTCTCAATAGTTATACCAGATTTTGGTCATTAAAATAACCCTAATAATTTCAGTAGGGCAACTGTCGTAATTCCCAGTCTAACCAAACTGTGAGACCTTACAAAGGCAGAGAACAGCAACACATAGTAGACAGTGACAGAAATTTGTCATTGCTCTTGTTAAATGGCTAAGGCTGCATTTTGACCAAACAGAAGAAAATAATACAATCCATTTCTTAGAAAATAATGTGGTGCTGGCTCAGATTAGCTAACGACATCAAATGCTGAGGCACTCATCTGCTTCAACAGTGCCCTTTGTCTGCACACATTAAAGATATGCATGGGGATAATTCAAGGCTCCAGGAGGGGGCAGATGTACTTGCTAAACAAGGGAAAAACTCCTGGATTATCAGGTGTCAACCTGCTGCATTTCATCAAAAATAAATCCCTTAAAATAATGTAGGAAATATATATATATATATATATATGTAATACTCATAAAACATCAGCAATCTGAAGTGAAAATTTGGTTGCACCTGACAAGGACATAATACGCTAATACAGAAAATGGTGTAAAAAGAGAAGTTGAAACAGGTACATCTGAACCGGTTCCTCTCTATCAATTAGAGAGTGATAATCTCAAAGGAGTGTTTAGGTTTTGCTGTCTTCTCAGACTGTTCTCTGGGTTTGCACAAAATGACTTTGCAGTTGCTGTTTTCCTTTTCAGCTTCAACAGAGAGAGGTGCAGTGCTGTGAGTCCCTCTAGCAGGAGGAGAAGAAGGAAAGCTGAGGGTGATCTGATAGCAGGAGAAGCCCAAATTAGGTTCTTCTCAGAGCTCCACTTTTCAACATCATTATTTCAAAAATGTAGGCTACAGCTTTCATGTTGGAATACCAGCACACTTATTTTTCTGTACACTGTTGCTCTTCCCACAAGTCCTGTGGGAGGTATTTGGACTAGGGGTATTTACACCAAAAAGTTTCAAACTGGAAAAATGAGTGTACTTCTTATGAGGTTCAGCAGATTGGAATCTGCCAGGCTTTTATAAAACTGTTTATTTTCTGAGTCTTAGCTCTTCCACCACGTTTTTTTCTGATCTTTTTTTTTTTTTTTTTTTAATTGCACGCAGGACAAGCTCTATCTTATTAAGTGAAAACAAAAGAGTGAGAAGTTGGAAATTGCCAGGAAGCCTGGGAAAGACCGATATTCAGCTGAGATTTCATTCCATGTTTTCCTGTTGACCTCACAGGCTCTCAACACAAGAGCTCTGAGTACATTAAAGAAAGGCCACAGTCTCATTTGGTCCTGTGAACATTGGCAATATGTTATAGGGACAATATACAAGCTTGAAAGGGAAAAACCGCAGCAATGTCCCCATGCCCTGGAGGTTTTGTCTGGTGCAATGCTGTTTAACCAGAGCACTGTGAGGTTTTAAATGGCCATATGAGATTTATAGTAGGTCATGACCAGATCTCTTTTCAGGGCAAAGTTTGAAAAGTCCATTTGTCTGAAAATTTAAAAAAAGAGTCTGGTAATTCTCCAAGGTTTTTCTCCTTCCTTCAGGCAACTATTTTTGCCTGGCCAGAGTTCCTAAACCCTTCCCAAGAGCCCTTTTAATGTGGGAATTATTGTCCTAGTGTTTGCTATCAAAGAAATAATACTGAAGATACAAATATTTACAAACCCACTCTAACTCCACATGGTCAGTATCAAGCTTATGAAGTTTTAGAAAAAGGGACATCATGACCATAAAAGAGGCGGCTTCAGAAAATCAGTATTTGAAAGCATTATTAACAGGGAGGAGTGATGGTTACTGTGGGGAGTTGAATGCCAAGGCTCAAGGTGCAGACAGAGCCCCCCATGTCCAGCCGATGGTGTGGCCACCCCAAGGGCAGCCCTGGCTGGGTGGGTGGCAGTGCTGGCCCCGCTGCTGGGCTGTGCCACACCCTGCCTGGGCCAAAGGAGGATGCTGGTGTCCGTGGGGCTGCACAAGGCCAAGCAGGGTTGGCCCTCTCGACAGCTGATTCTCCATTGTCCCCCTTCAATGATGGGGTCCACATCAGCCTTTCAGCAGTGGGTGATGCTTGAGTAGTACCCTCCACTGGGCTTCACACATGACACTGCAAGCCAGAGGGGCTTGGCTCCTGCTGCCTGGCCCTGAGACTGGGGCAGATGGGGGAGACTGGTAGGAGATGGGGCCAGGGGAGGCTCCAGGCACTCCAGTGGGGTCAGAGTGGTTTTGAGGAATGGGGAAAGGGCAGCCTGGGAAAGAAACACAGCAAGGGTCCATGGTGGGCAGACAGAGAAGCTCTGGGACAAGGTCTCCTCAGGAATCAGCCAAAATCATGGAGATCTGTCGCCATGTAGGGGAAGATGCATGTGACAGAGGCTGCATATCTGGATTTTCTCTTTTCCCTCTGAAGGCAATGTAGGAAGGAAGAAAATGAAGATGGGAGTGGCAAGCAAAGTCCCTTAGGGCTGTTGGAAACCTAGGTCTAGCTGCCCCCTAACCAGCTCTTCCCTGTCAGCAGGCATCACCTTCCTGGGCATGAAACTATACAAGCCTCCCTAGGTATGCAGGACACCAGGGCCATGGCAGATCCTCAAAAAAACATATTAAAGTGTCTTAAAGGATCACTGCAAAGCAGTAAAATTACTTGGCAGGTCTCTATGACTTTTCAAGGTGGGATTTTCATCTGTTAAATCAGAATCATGGGATAATGGGATTCTTTAACCCCGCTCCCCTGTTGGTTTTTTTTTGTGGGTTTTTTTTTTAATTTCTTTGGTATGTTTTTTTAAAATTTTTATTTTATTTGACAAACTGTTCATTTAGAGCAGTTATGCTCGATTGTGCCAGTAAGTAATAAGTGAGAATTACTTGTGAATTATTTGGCTGCTAAATTTCCACAGAGAAGGGCTTATTCTCTTCTGCGTGAATGTATGGGTGACAGGCAGTGCCTAAGCATGAAAAGGAGTTCTACACCTGAGTCAAGAATGAAAAAACCCTTTAAAATCTTGATAGCAATCTAATACAGAAGATACACTCCTATGCAAAGTAAATTTTGTTAGATATAAAATACCAATTTTTAAACTAAACAACTTTTTTTTTTTGGCTAAAATGATGGAAGATTGCGGACCATATTAAAGATAGCATGTGTCATGTTTAAATCATACCCTGTGGAAAAATACCTAATTCAATTTTAGTAATTTCTATTTATTTCTGCATTTCAAAATGATAAAATTTTTAGGTTATAAAAATGTAATGTCTGACCTTAGACTTTTTTACACACAGTTTCAATCCAGGCCTAATTTTACTTCTAAGATAAAAACAAATTAGAGCAAACAGTCATCATATGATATGGCCCCTCTGACTGCAAAAAGGGCAGCTTACTATAAATACAGTCCTTGAGAAAAGGAAGGTCTTCCATTTGGAGAAGGAATTTGAAATTTCATGCCATTCCAGTTTGGAACAAAGCCCTCCAATTTTAAATTTACCCATGAAACAGAACCTCAAAAGAAAGCAATAATAATGAAAAATAAAGCAGAAAGTGTTTGGTCTGATAATTTGTAAAGAAAATGTCACCAGACAGACTCCCTGGGAATGTTGAGTGAGCAAAAAAAACCCAAAACAAACAAAACAAAAATTTTGTAACTTTAGAAAATGAGACATTTGAGATTTTTTGATCTCAGTTTACATCAAAAAAGCTTCAATGGTTCCAGAGCCCAAATACTTTCCCTGCTCATCAGGTTGCCAGTGAGGGTGTTGGGGGAGCTAGTAGTGCCCTACTGGACTGCTGCTGTACCTTCTCACCGGCACATGTGAAATAGCTGTGGTAAAAAGCTGTTTCACCATAACAGCTTTGTTTAATTTCACAAATGCTCCAGTTTTTCTTTGGGAAAAAGAAGAAGGCTGTTTGAAGACTGCACATTTCCTTTCACTGAAATGCAAGAAACCTAGAACAGAATGAACCATTCCTCAACAGTAAAATAAATCCAATACTTTTCCAAGAGAGAGGAAAGGATAAAAAGTTTCCTGCAACTTACATCAAAATTGAGACAGTCATGAAAAAAGGAGGAGACATCTGGATGGGAGTGCATGGAGGAGCAAAGTATCTCAGATCACAACAGTGTGACTCCTTGCAGGGAGCATTTCAGTCCTGATTCAGCCACAGCTAATCCTCATGGAGAAATCACAGGGTACCTCATTCTTTGTACTAACACATCCTATTTTTCTGCCTGCAAAGAAACTGGACACAGTTCTGCATCTCTGTAGTATCCTCTTCAGCCCCCAGAGAACAAAGGGCCAGCCAAAGCACAGGCTTTGTGTTGTCCCCACTGGGGCCTCATGAAGACACTGTTCTTGAGGAACCCCTTGCCCATCCTGGGCACAAGCATGTCTTTTTCATGGGACTGGCCTCCTGCAGAACCTGACTGTTCTCCCCTGAGCAAGCCAGTCTCCCCTTCCCTTTCTGCCTCCACTGCTGCCAGGGTCAGAGCAAGAGCAAGAGCAAGAGCAAGGAGGAAATGCTCTTGAATCTAGAATTAAAAGATACAGAGGACAGAAGGCAGATAGCCTTACCAGTGACAAAGGCAAACCCAGAAACTCAGAGCTGAGATTTCTAAACCATCTTTGCAGGAAGGCAGGAAAAACCGACTGGAGCAAGCATGCCATCATCCATGGAGCTGATGCCAGAAAGCCCTGTTGTGCCTGGCTGATTACCGAGCGATTAAAGCTTGAAGGGGGGATCTCCTTCCATCTGCTGCATGGACTGCTGCCTCACTCAGAGGGAACTGAGATTCCTCCTTTGCAGTGCTGCACCTGCTCGGGAGACTCCCTGAGCTACAGCTAGGATGCAATTCACAAGCACACAGGGGTCAAAAGCCCCAAACTTTTGTCATGTAACTGGACCAGGCTGAGGTGCTGCTGCTTGCTATGAATTTTCACCTTTTCTTAAAATAAAGTGGTAATGAAAGTGGTGATTTGTGTGAACAGAGCGGCTGCTGGTTTCCTGCTTTTGGTGCTGTGTAAAGCTGAGCTCTTTCATCAGACTGCCAGGAAATAGATACAAATGTATTTATAACATTTCACTTTTTGCAGCATAGCACTAAAAATAGCACAACACATTACTCCTAGTATAGGGCTCTCTCTTCTCTTATCCCACTGCTGAAGTAAGAAAGGCATAATGTTATCAGCTGTCCTCATACCTCTTTGAAGAAAGCAGGTTTTAGCTACCAGAATTACTATAAGAGTTAAAATCCCTTGTTTTACAACAGGTTCATTGCCTATGTGGACTTTTATCGCCCAGATGTTCAAATCTCATTGAAATATCGTAAGTAGTATCAATAATAAGGAAAACAGAATTCATTAACAAACTTGCTGTCTATAACTGTGCACTCATGATATATGTAAGTGGTGTTCAGTGACAAAACATTAGGTCAGTACTCCTTTGATCCACATTTCTGAAGAGGGACAGGTTAGACAAGGTTTAGCCTCCAAGGGTCATAAAAATGTAGAAGTTTCCCAATTGCAAACTAATTTTTCGAAGAAAATTACGTGAGCAATTTAACTGGATGGGCATATATGCCTTCCAGGTTTTATATTGTTAATGTTTGTTTCCTCCTGCATTTTTGTTGTTCTCCTACTCTCCTCTCACACTTTTTATTTTCTGCCTCAGATACACACATTAAAAAAAACACTCTCACGCTTCTTGTCCTATTTGATTTATTCCGAAGAAATTAAATTACATTTTTATAAGCCTGTGTTACCACAAATGATAGCTGAAGATTTGCTGAAAAAATTAATTCCTGATCTGTTGCCGTGAAGCGTCCTCGCTAGCACTGTACTGACTATGTCTTTCAAAACCAGATGGAAGCAGTCCAACAGTATGATTAACTTCTTAGTCCCCGCAATTTCCTATTGCTCTACTTGCCCTAGATTTCAGGATTGACCTCCTGCTTCACTGCAAAATGCACAGTTGCTCAGTTTGATAAATCACATGAATACTTTTTTGATCACAGTTATCTACTATTTACTACATACCCAGTGAGGTTAATCATATGCTGAGGCACTTCATATGCTGCACACATATACACTCTTCTTCCCAATAGCACTTTGCATATTCTTCATGCTGCCAGCCAGCAATGGGACCTGTTTTCCCCTTACTAATATATGAAAGACCACAGACCTACACCTTGCATTTTTACCTTCCACATTCACACTGTTTCTTAAAAGACCAAGGAAGTAAAAGAAAATATGTGAGAAATTACTAGTCAGATCTTTCTTCTAGCAGACAGCTATGTTTCAAAATGCAGATGTTTCTGGGAACTAGAACTGATTGGCTTTCCCCAAATATCTTTGGGGAGCAAATGCACAAGGTTGCCCATAGGAAGGTGGGAAGTGTTTGGCTGTCACAATAACAAAACACTATCGCTTCCTTGAAGAAAAGAATATATCTTAACTCTTTATCTTTCTAACTTTAAACATCAAAGGAATTCCAGTATTTAGTAGGGCTCAAAGCTGTTACAGTTCCCTGGGACAGCTCTGCTCCACCTTCTCACACAACAATGCACCCACATCACACCTTTATTGCTACGGTAGAACAATTCTAAATAAACACCAGCAATTGTCAAGGTATGAGAAAACATCCAGCAGCAAAAAGGTGAGTGTTACAGGTCTTGCTCACAAACTAAATAGAGGGAGTACAAGTTTTACAGAGATACCTATTCCTTTTCACTCCAGGCTCCTCTTCCAAAGCCCCTTTTCACTAATTCACAACATTCTCCAATAGTGGAAAATACCATCCTATATACAATATGTATCATTACTCTTCCACCTTCATGTCCTCTAACTAGTAGGACTGAGAAACTCCAGACCATTCCAAGGAGCAGCTGCCCTTTGCTACCCTATATTTGGGCAGGGGCCAAGGAGGGTGCCAAGTGTGAGACACCAGCATTTCCAAACAGCCAGGCTTTCATGTAAGACATAAATGATAAATCCATATATTCCCTCTCAGAAGTATTCTTTTTTTTCTCTCAAGGATAATCCAGAAAGTTTAAGTGATGTGCTAATGCTGAGAGCTACATGTCTGCCTCTGTGGCAGTGAGCCCTGTGCTCGTACGCTTTACTCCAGCCAACCCTTTTGGCTCCTGTGGAGCCTGTGATCTCAGTTCCATCACTCTCTGCCGGGTCCCAGATCAGCTGTCCCAAGCCAAGGCTTCCCCTCGGCTGTCACTGATTGTACAATGCTGCCACATGAAGCTTTTCTGGCCAGCCAGCCAGCTGAGTCACTCACTGATAAGCTGATCATGTAGCTTCTCATGTGGAGAACTCCCATGGTGTGAAGGGTGATGTTATCAAGAATATCGGTCCAACACAAACTTTAAGTACATGAGTGACATGAAGCACATGAGTGATTTTGCTAGCTGTCACTGGACTTTACTTGCTTTAGGGTATCACAAGTTTAACTGCTTTACATAATCACAGCTCAAGCAGATACCTGAGAACAAGAAAACTTCGTCTCTATTCACAAAAAGTTTTAAGGCTGCTTGGATAGCTGCCTTGCCTGCCTTAAGTAATCTATTAAAAAATCTAAATTGCTTCTTATTGTTGCTTTCATATTTTACAGACAGTGCCTCCCCAGGCCTCCTAACACAAACAGTGTATCTTGATGTGGCTTTGTCTGAAGAAGAGCTGTGCTACACATCCCGCTGGACTAATCATCAATTCTGTGTCTGCTTACAATATCAGGGCAAGGGACTGGGTTGTCCAAGGTCAACCTTTTTGATTTTTCTTGCACCTGAGCACTAAATGCATGCATGCAGCCATGAGAGGCAGTGCAGCAGCAGCAGCTCTGTTTCCAAATGTCTCTCCACACAGATGTGAGACTCCAGTTTGCTTGCTCTCAGTTGACCAAACTCCTCATTTCTCTCTTTGGGAAGTGGGAAAATTCATTTGCCCTTCAGCATCCTGCGTGCTACTGGCCAGTCCCATTAGGGTAAACCAGCTCATGTCTGGTACAGCCCGCATTTTGATGTCTTGACCGTGATCAGACACGGACAGACGAGTGCAAAGCATCCCTCCTGACCAGACTGAAGGTCAAGACAGGCTGTGTAGCTCACCAGCCACCATGAATGGGACTTGTCTCCACTGCCAAATGGATGCCAGTGCTGAGATGCCTACTCTGTCAACAGCAAGAGGTGGTAAATCTAAAAGGTTTATCACAGCCCATGCTTCACAGTTCAGGTCTGGACGACACATTTGTATCACCCAGGTGCTGAGAGTAAGCTATTGAGTTGGGCTCTTTACAGGGCTTATCAGCTGGGAATGGCAGGCCTGCCAGCACAGCCATATGGCTACTGAGATGACTGGGTTCAGTTCTGCCTGTACCTCACATGCTGGCACTGAGGTCTGTATGGGCAGAGCTGGTGGGTTTTGCCTGCCTCCTCGAGTACACAGAATGGAGAGCAGATCATGGCTGTGAAGTCAGCACATCTCCCAAGTACCACCCAAGCACTCAGCAAAGGACCTGTCTTTCCCTTGTTACAACCAGAGAGGAAATTCAGCAGTGGTACAACACTTTCTCCAAGTGTTCCAAACTCTTCAGCAGACCCACTTGCCTTGCAGTCCAGTACAGGGAATTAAAAGTAGCCAGGGGAATAAAAGTGCCCTAGGACCACTATAAATCTTTATTTCATGGAAAATCTTATCTTGCACATGAATATGAGCTGTGAGTAAATTTAATGTGCGGAGTAAGTACTGTACAGTCTCCCTCATGGTGGGTTTTTCAGCCTAAAAAGAACAAAAGAATAATAATGAGTGTTGTGTTTGGGTAGGATTGCAAACAGCTGTAATTTACAGCTGGACATTCTCCACTGCAAATGTATCCAGCAAGCAAGTGCTTCTGGGTTAGTGGAACAGACTGCAAAAAAAAATTAGCTTTTAACTTCAGCCTTAAGGTCAGAGTTCTGGAACCACGGGAGTCAATAATAAAATCTATTTAGCTCAGTGGGATTAAGCAAGTTTAAGACCTGGCTTAACCACACTGCTAACTGTTAAATAACAACAGAACACACTGAATATTTTAGTTACATGCATTTTTCTTCACTTGAAAGCTATTCAGGCAGTGGATATGGGAGTCAGACAATTGAAAATATGCCAGCACTATACCATTAAGGTATATGAGTTAAGTTCTTGCTCTTCTCTGTCCCAGAAAGTGAGTAATCTATATAGTTTGAGCACTCTACTGAAGAGCACAATAAAATTAAAACCAAGCTGTGATGAATAAACACCGAGGGCTTTTCATGAGAGAATGAAAAGCTAATGGGGCCAGTGCATCTTTGCTGACAAAATAGTCAGTGCATGTGCAGAGCAACCTGTCTTCTGGAAGCAGGAAAGCTGTTTCAGTCAAGCTTCTGGGTCACTAATCTTTGTGTTTGCGCATAAATCTGCTGGGGGTTACTGTGTCATTCTGAAAACAAGACTGAGTGTGATACACTACAGAAGTAAATGGCTAGGTTTAAAAACTCTCTCTTTTTTGTTTAGTTTTATTTTTTCCTCATCTTTTAGCTTAGATAACTGTTATGTCTTTAATAGAACCTGAAAGCAAGAACTGCAACAGGAACTTCTGGAGAATATTTTAAAAAAAGGGCAAAATTACTGAAAGCTTTATAGTAAGCTGCCACCTCTCTTGCTGCTGGGAAGTGCTGGTGTGTGACTGGGAGCTGAGTTGCTACTGGGACACAACTAATGAGCAGCGCTATCACAGGCATCCTCACTCCAGCCAAGAAGAGACAGAAACTGCTGTCATAGTGTGGGATTTTGGCTCCCTGCCCTCCCATTTGCCTCACTGCAGTGAGGCCATGGGTGGCAGGGAGGCAAATCTCCAGGGTGCACCCCCAGCCTTCCCAGCACCCCCTCCAGAAGTGGGGGAAGGAGGGTACCCTGGCAGATAAATTTTTGCAGAGCAGGTTGGAAACTGTAGTCCCTGAGCCTGCTTTTAGGGGCAGACAGGCAAATATTTGAACATAAATCCAAAACTGAGGTGTGATGGTTACTAATACTGATACTTCTGCTCTGTGGATGAAGACAGCCTGCACCCAGCAAGCTCACCACCTTGGACGAGGCAGGAAACATTTATTCATCACCACCACTATTCTTTCCAAGGGAGAAAGAAATCAAACTGCAGGGATTGGGGCTTGTTAATTACCTCCAGGGCCACTCCTGCAGGAATGTTCCACATTCAGCCCAGGGGGAGGATGCTGTGAAAAAAATCCCCATGTTTCTTTTGGTAACAGTATTGTCCCCACCAAGCGCAAAATCTGCTTTGCCTTGGGGGGTGAGCTTGCACACCTCCAGGGAGAGGGGCATAATGCTGACTCCAACTCCACTTTCTTTTTGCATTCATTCCAGTTACAGCAAATACATCTGAGCCCTATAACTGTGCCAGCAATTTCACCCACATCCCATACATTTCACTCAGGATTTTTTTTTTCCTTAAAGCAGGGCAAAAAATTCTAAACAAAACGGTGTTTGTAAACTTGGGGAGGGAAGGTCAATAATTTTGGCGGTCTTACCCTCCAAGCAGAGAGAAATGTTATTCATCCATGCACAACATATAATTCAGCCTAAGTGACAGGCTCTGCTCTGGAGAAATCCTGGCCTGAGCTGGCTTCCAGAGTCAATTACCGCTTATTCCCAGGGAGGCGGGGGGCTGGGGGCCAGACGGAGCAGAGGGGGCTGCCAACAAGACATGGGGAAATTTACTCTGTGTCAGCCTGCATGACACAGTACCTCATTTGTGGAAAAATGTAAATCTGCTAGTTCTTTTTCACAGGCACTAAAATGTACAGTGTCTCCTCCCCCTTCTCTACCCTCTTTCCCAAAACTGGAAAAGAAATCAGGACTGTCTTAGAAAGCTACCTTATATTTCAATCAATCCTCTTTCATAAAAGTCATTTAAGGTAAATACCTGTGCAGATCTACAGCCCAACTATAACATTTACTATGGCCCAAATCCTGAATTCCTCACTCAGGCAAGTTTCCCATTGAAGTTAATAGACTTTTTTGCTTGAAAAAGAGCTGAGTAAAACCTGAACGCTAAGGATTTGGTCCCCTGCTTATCTGCCTGGAGCACTGCTGCAGTTCCAGAAGAAGTGAAAAATTAATTAAATTCCTCCAAAATACCAATCTCTTAAAACTTAAGGGGTAAAAAAGGGCATTGTTTTTGTGTATAAAACATACAGAGAATCTCATCAAAGGAAGAGTAATTCCCAGGGAAAGGATTTGGAAAAAGTCAAAAGAGAACATCTCGGAATAAATGAAGTACTTATTGCTGAGAAATGAGCTCAGATATATCTCAGTAAACTCTAAAGCTCAGAATTTACTGCATCATTCATGCCTTCTCCAGTAAGTTTCTTATCTCTCGTTTGGTATCACAACAAGGGATTCTGCATACTCTGTATGAAATACAACAAGACTGTGATTTTTGCAGTAATAAACTCTACACATGCATGACAAATCCAAGCATGCAAAATGTTTAACATCCCAGTTCACAGATACTTTGGGGACAAAATCCGATTATGAGTTATATGCCACAATAAACAGGGCTCAACGTTTCATAAAGCAATTTATAGTTCATAAAAATGACAAAATGTACCTGTCAGATAGAACGCGGAGAGCAGATCTCTGTGCTGCCTGCTGGAAGAAAGGGCAGAGATGTTTATTTTATATTCTGACTTGAAAATTACGAGCACAATCAACACTTTAAAAAATGCGTTACACACATTTTTGTCACATGTCCAAAATGTTAAAGTACAAGCAAAGTAGCAGAGAGTCTATAGTCAAATGGACATTCCAGCCTAGTAAATGTAAGAACACTTTGTTTAAAATGCCAAAACCCGGAAGATTGTCAAAGCACCACACGGTATTTGAGGTCTGAACTACTCTATTTAGACAATTTTTTTCTCTAGGTCCCTGAAAACTTGCCAGGGCTTGGTTTTTCTGCTTTCCCCTCTCCCTGCTTCTGTACTCCCACTCCTTCTCCTTTACCATTAGTCTCCTCCCATTCTTCCACAGAAACAAACATCACATATTTGGTTCCTTTGCGATGAATTATAAATTTTTCAAAGCTTGCCAGAGCTGCTGCAGACTTTTCATGAACACTGCCATGTTAATCTGCTGGCAACATTTGCCTAGACAGTACAGGATTGACCTTTCGCTGGTTTGCTCTTCAGTTTTTGCCTAGCACAATTTTTTGGATAGGGTGGGGAAACATGGTTCTTGTTCTTGTGTTAACCACCAGGTCTGGGAATAGAAATTGTAGCCTCTCAAGTTTAACAGGACTCCCAAGCCTATCCCTGAGCTAGTTTGCCACTTTATTATTATTTTTCCCCCTCCTTCAATCACTTCAAGTGGTGTTATTCAGGGCTTTGGCACAGTAACCAGCTTCTAAGCAAAGATGAAATCCGTAATTTCAATTCCATAAGCCTTAAAGACTCCATTCCACTTGGACAAGCCCAGAGCGTCCTATCCCCAGCAGCACCTGTCCAGGCTGTGCCTCACATGGCACAGAAGGCACACAGAGCTCAGCAGTACAGAGAGTCAAGGGGCAGGGAAAGAAAAGTTTATTTGCAGTTTGAGTTATAACTCATTGCAGTTACCAGTAAGTATGTCTTGAAACTGCTCTTCCTTATCAACCTGCTGGGGCCTGCATCCCTATTTCCTAACAAGTTGGACGACTTACAGGTAACCTGCTCAGCACCAGAGAGTATGGACGTGACCATTCTGGCTCGGCAAAAATGCTGCTGACAAATTGCAAAGAAAAACTCGAGGAAACCTGATTTGTGGCTGCATTTACATTGTATTTCACAGAAAGATGTAAAAAGATCCCCTGAATGGATCCCTGAAGATCTGACAGGAGTGGGAAGTGTTTCCACTTGATTCTGGAAGCAGGATTTCTGCTCGTTGGACTTTCTAGAATAACTTGTGCCTGCCTGCTGGGTTTCTGGGGATATGTAGCTTGATGTGCATCATCCACCAGATTGTCAGAAGACAGAGTGGCACGGCTCACAGAAGGGTTTTTCCTTAGTGATGACTTTCTGCAGTGGGCAGAGAACCTGTGGGAAGGGCTTGGAAGGTCCAAGCAGCTCAGTGGGAGTTTTCCTATGGCACGAACACATTGTTTTCAGTGGTAGGAAAATGTGGCAAGTCTGGTATTTTTCACTGTTTCCAGTAGGTCATACTATTTCCATGCTCTTTGGATACAAAATTATCTATGCCACTGGCTACAGGCTTTAAAGTGTGTAGCCACTCTCCAGTCCTGTGGGCTGGCATCATTTTTCCTTCTCCTCTGCAAGGGGTTTGTTAGCACAACGTCATCTCATACATTTTTCAAGTTCAAGCTCAGAGGAGACCCAAACCTTAGGTTTAAGAATGACTTCTGGCTTAAATTCTTTTTTAACACCCAGGGCCAACACAACAACTCTGCTCCCATGCCTAATCACTCCACTAGCAGGAGGCTATGACCATTTTGAGTTTCAAGCTACCCAGCTTTGATGCTGAGCCTGCACTATGTTGCATCTTTGCCTGCAAAACTCAGTAGCTTCTCTCACTGTCTGAGCCATTTTCCATGGCCAAGTTGTGTAGACACCATTCAGGTCACCTCCTCTTTTCCTCCCCACAACAGCCAGGGCCAGTCTTTCCATCTCACGCAGCCACTACGTGGCAGTGCAGTTCGAGACACTTCTCATGTTTCCCACTCTTGGCTCAGGCCACCACAGGTGCTCACGTGGTTGTGCAATACAACAGGTTAGAAAATGGATCCTATCGAAAAATAACAATTTTCCTTCATTTTTTGTTCATTTTTTTAAGATTTTTTTTCCCTCTCCTGATTTCCCCTCTGTTATTTGTGACCTATATCCCTTTTCTGCTGCTTCCCCCAGGAGATGGTGTCACATCACAAGTACAGGGTGAGAATCAGAACGGCACTGGGGGGTAGTGGAAACCTTTGCTGCTGACATAAGGTCATGGCCACCAGCAAGGTCACTTCCACCTGACATTGCTCCCACTCCTTTCTGGAGCTGCAGAACACTCCTGGAGAAAGGTACACGGTAGCTGTGGTAGCCAGAAGGAATTGAAGGAGACAGGTTGCTCTGCAGCCACATGCCTCATGGATATTGAAGAGACCACAAAAAAGCAAACGTGAACTTCAATGATGCTAAAAGCCTCTAATATGGGATGTGGGGTTCATATCACTGTTGCATTTCCCTAAAATCCCTAATTTTGAGAGGAAGACATGCTGGATAATTTCTCTTCCAGGCTTGAGGAAAGCTGCCCTCAGGAGGGAAGAGGAGAGGTCCCTTGTCTTGACCCACTTGGTGCACTAACTGAGCCATGAGACACTGTGTAGGACTGCAGCTTCAAGTGCCAGTCTTCAGTTTCCATCTTGATGCATTCAGTTGATGAAAGCTTTGAAAAGGTGATCCCTTCTGGACAAGAAAGTGGGTTCAGATGACAGGCACTGACACAGAAAGAAAGGTACAAGTGTGTTTCAGTGAGATAATTCTACTTTTTCAATTACTCTCTCATTTTGAGTCCTTTAATAAACATCCTTCACTGAGGTGCAATGCAGATTGCATGGGGCACCTCAGTCTTTGCCTAGTGGTCACACATTGTCTAAATGAGACTATTGACTTCTTTCTTGCACGGGCTGGAAATACAGCTGTGTTGGATTGCCTATTTGTGCGACCCCCTGAGCTGGTAATGGCCCCATTTCCAAACGATGGGGGAATAAGATCCAGTCACAAGTTTATTCTTCCTCCCTGGAGAAACAGATCTATTGCCTGCAATGAAAGGCAGTTAGCAACTATCCAGCAATTTTAATTCTAGTCTATATTGCTTCCCTCTCCTGGAGAAAGTGAGCTGTTGTAATTAAAGGTAGTTAGCAGTTCCCTTGCAAGTATAAATACTTGCAGCCACTAATTACAGTCTGCTCTCCTGTTCCACTCCTTGCCACAGGACTGGGCTGCTAAATTTAGGGGGGAGTATCTACCCTCACTTCATGCTAATAGTTTGTGATCCCATTCAAACTAATTCAGGAATCCCCATGAAAGGTTATGACCCATAGTTTGAGGAACTCACAGCTATAGAAACAGTTTTTTTGTGATTTATTATGTTTCTAATATGCTGGTATTATCTATCTAACAATGTAAGCAAAGGGGTGGTACTTAGTATCATATAATGCCTGCATGACTATTTTTTTAATAGCTACATTTTGATTGTGCTATTTAATTTGCATTTTATTTTACATCGTTAACAACTTTACTGAGGCCAACTCATCATCCATCAAGAAAACTGAGAATATGTTCTACAGTCTTTATTATTCCTGGATATAAGTTACTATGCTGGTTATAGAAATTTGGGATAAGAAATAATTTTGATATTGCTGACAGAATTTAAATATCTCCAAGACTTAGCACTAAAAAGTGCTTTATGGAAAGCTTAATATTCTCTTGATAAGTGGTAGAATGTGTTCACTAGCAAAGAACATAATCCTGAATTTTCAGTCCTTGGAATCAGTGGGGTTACTAAATGGAGGTTCTCTTCAATATGAACACAGGTATTGGAGGCCAACTCACCACACAGTAACTTGAATGCTGAGTAGGAAACAGGGAAGGAAAAAAACCAGTCACTGGTGTCTCAGGTACTTGAGCTAGAGAAACCAGCCACAGTAAATGAGTATGAATTATGCTGTTTCACTACATCAAGAGTTGCAAATCACAGGACAGTGGCTGGTTAGACTTCTTTGATCCCCAGCTGGGTTGGTTCAGATAGATTTAGGGCAGAGTTTCATTGATCTGCCTTAGTCTATTAATCATTTACACAAGATTCTAGCTGTACCCCAAGACTACTGGGACAAAACAAGTTTTCAGCCAGCAGTAATCATGGTCGGGTTCCCAATCTCCAGAGATTCCATCTCATTTTTCCATCCTTTATTGCAATGAGCCAGAGCTTGGGAACATATTCAGGTTCCAGTGTGTGTTAAATGAGCTACCAAAATTAGCTTGAAGTGTGACAAGTTGCAATCTGTTGTTGAAGGGAAATCAGAGAGGAAATTAAATACTTTTATTGTAATTGGGACTGAGCAGTGAGCTAGCTCATTGTAATTGGGACTGAGCAGTGAGCAGAACGGGTTGAATACAGCTATTGAGATGGAGATACAGGAGTGTTAAGAGTGCTCCCCAGAAATCCCTCCTTTTTTTAATTTGTTGCAAAAGGATTGCTTCATCAGCTGCTGGGCTCACAGGCATTTTTGGATAAGAAACAAATGAAAACTACTGAAGTACGTTCTGCTGGGCTTGGAAGACTGTCTTGGAGGCACTGTGGGTTGACTGTAGATGCATTTTCCTATACCTCACCCACAGCAACCTTTGGCAAATAAAAGCCAATAAATTGGCTGTTGGCAGATGCAGGCATTTTGCTTTCCATCTTGCCTGTCCTGTGGATTAACTGCTGTTTTCGGGAGAGTGCTCAGTTACAGCGATTGTATGGAATTACACAAGCTACACCAGAGATCTCCCTGAGATGGCACAGGTGTACATGTGGTGAGAATTTGAACAATTTCTTTGGTGATAGTGGAGCAATACATGCTGCTTGTGCACAAGTAAATTGCACAGCTTCCAGAGCATCTTGTTTGTCTT